TAGTTGTCTCATTTTCAGTGGTGGAGAGCCTAAAAACTGTTTCTACTTTGTCATAATCTTTCTCCAAAGCCTAATTTTTATTCTCTACATTGTTCTTAAAAAATAATTTTTCTGAGTATCAGATTCTTAGGTTATCAATCTTTTTGTTGTGGTACTTCGAATATACTGTTCCACTGTCTTCTGGCCTCCGTGGTTTCTAATGTGAAGTTGTCTTTTAATGTTATTGAAGATTGTTTGGATGATGATTTGATTTATTTTTTGTTGCATTGAAGATTTGCTCTGTTTTTAGTGTCTGGAGGTTTCATCAAGGTACATCTAAATACAAATCTCTCAGTGTGTATCCCTTTGTCTGTATTGACAAAGGATCTTAATTGACAAAGGATCTTAATGTATAGCTAAATTTTGGGGGCATTTTATTTTTTGAAATAGTGGTTTTTTAAATCTTCTTTCCTTCTGGAACTATCATTTGCAAATATTGGGACACTTGATTGCATCCACATGTCTATGAAGCTCTGTTTGCCTCTTTTTATTCCTTCCTCTTTCCTTTTTCTCCTCAGACTGAATAATTTCTGTAAACTTACCTTGAGATTCATTGATTCTTTGATCATCTTATATCTGTTCTTGTATTAATCTTAGTGAACTTTCATTTGGTGCATTTTGTGGCTCCCGAATTTCTGTATGGTTCTTTTTTAAAAAATAACTTGTTTGTTTATATTTTCTGTTTGGAGAGAGATTTTACTTATGCTTTTGTGTAGTTCTTTATGCATGATTTCCTTTTGTTCTTCCGACTCCTTTGAAGTGGCTTTTTCAAGGTTTTGCCTATTAAGTCCAACGTCTGAATTTCCCCAGAGACATTTCTCATTGGCTCTTTCCCCCATGTTGGGGTCATAAATGTTTCTTTATATGACCCAGAAATTTTTTTTTAAAATCTGGATCTTTTTTCTAAAGCCTGAATATTTGAAATAATGTAATGTAATGATATGAGATGATTTTCCACACCAAATTTATTGTAGATACTGTTTGTTTAGGTACTTTTCAGAGGTAATGTTATAAAGTTGGCATTCTTTTTATTATTTTTCTACTGACTTCTCTTCTTAGATAGCTTCATGGCCAGTTAGTGATTAGGCATAGATTTCCTCATATATCCAGAACCTTAAAACTTTGTCTTTATTACGTTCTGTGTGTTGGGAAGGGAGAGTGGAAACACACAAATGTTTGAAATACCATATATCTATCCTAGCTAATTTTTGTGAGTCAACATTTCCTGAAAATTTGTTAAGTCTTTGGTTAATTCCCAGTGTTCTTCATTTTAATGGAAAAATACCATCCTATTTCCCCACCAAGAAAAGACCAAAACCAACAAATGAAAATCAACAACTCACAGGAAACTTATATTAACAGCATCAAATTTGAGGAAAACCAACCAGCTATTTTTCTAGTTATCTAATTTGCTCTTTTATAAATAACCCTTTCTTCTGTATGGCCTGAATTTTTGGAACAACCAAGGCCTGCTATATTTTTAAGCATTTCTTCCTGTAGTTTATCTCTTTTTGCATTTTACTATAGTTAGCAATAAGAAACCAGTGAGCAGCTTTCGTATTTTTGAAAATTGCCTAGAAGGATCACCAATTCATTAGGCACATTTTCTACTTTTCAAATTACTATACAAAACAGTAGTATGACACTTCCTACATTATAACCATTATATAGTTTACTCTTGAGTTTCTAAATTTTTTCTACCAGTTTTTACTCTACAGCTTTCTTAAAGTGTGTGAGTTTTCTGTTCACGGCTTTCTCTAGTTATTTCAGGCTTTCATTAATTCTATCCCCAAAGCCTCACTGGTTCTAAACCATTCCTGTATCTGAGGCTTTTGTTACAGCAGATTCCCACAAATCTGTATCAAAATCTGTTTTAATTACCTACTATATTACAAATTATCTGTAAAATGTTTTACACAAACATTTATTATCTCATATTTTGTGTGATTCACAACTCTGAAGATGGCTCAGCTGGATGGTTTTGTTCATTTTCTTATAAAGAAGAAGGCAATCCAGGGATTAGCTGAGTTTAAACTTCTAGCCTCACTGGTTTGGCTGCTGTCAGGAAGCCTTTCTATGTACCTTTCCATGTAAGCCTAGCTATGAGGTTCCTTACAGTTGGGCTTCCTCAATTGAGTGGGGAGGAAAAGGGAGGGACAGGAGAATAAAGGGGAAAAAAGAAATTATGAGAAAGGATTGAGGGACAGAATAGAAATGACAGAAAAGCAGTGCTCAGCAGTATGCATGATGGGAATCTTAGTCATTTTACCTAGTTCTAGAAGTAGCATACTTGCACAGTGTAATATTGGTCACACAGACTCCCCACGATAGATAATAGCAGGGAATGGGCTGCACACCTGTCTCAGACCAGGAGGCCTAGGAGTCATTAAAGACCATCTTGAAGCTGGCTGTCACACTAATTAATGCTTTTAAATAATTCAGTGTTGAAAAGGAAAAATAGACAAAAATAAGTAAATCTGTCTTCTTCATTTCCATGTGGCAGCATTCTTTCCTTCCTATACGAATAACATTTTCCCCTCAGTTTTTATGATCATTACTTCCTAATCTACTTGCACAAATGCACAGGTAATAAAATCTGTGTATGCTGCCAAGACCCTTATATAAAATGGTAAGTGTCCACAAATAACCACATTCTCCCTTTATGCTGCTTGTCCAGCCTCGTAAAATTTTAAAAAATTACCTACATCATTTTATAACAATCTCTTTATAACCTGAATAGTTTTCATTTGCTTTTATTTAGTTATAACAGATTTTACAAGTGATGTATGAGACTTACTACTAATTAGCAACTGAGCAGCATTGTCTTTGTCTCCTTTTTTCTTCTCATATGTGGACCTAATTCCAAAGTATAGCATAAAAGGGATCAACTGTAAATAGGTGAATATAAAAGAGCTTAATTTAGCTTTACATTCAGTCTGAAATTAACTCTAGCCATAAAATGGTTAATAAGATTTAATCACGGCTCTTCTTTTTCTGACAAATTCAGTCATTTTTAACTAATGCAATGATACTGTTAATCAGAAATGGCAGGACAATTACCTAAATGCTTAAAAGTAAAGCCATTATTTCCTTTAAACACATAGTGTAAAGTAAAATGTAGTTGAAAAGAGTATTTGTAGAAGCCTTTGAAGATTCCCAAGGATAGTAACTAAGAAATAGTGTACAGTGTCTGATCAAAACAAAGGTGTGCTTGTTTTTAAAAAACAACTTACGACTGTCAAAGACACATTACTATTAATCCCTCACAGATTCTTGTCTCTTGCTTCAAAGACACATATCCCATAGTTCTTCCTTCATTCTTTCTGAAATCCTCTTTTGGGAATGTCTTTAGGAGATAATGATGAAAAATGCTGTACCAAGTGCCATCCAGTAAACATCATCCACCGTGTCACTTCTGACGTCATGTCACTTCTGGCTCTTCTTCAAGGTCATTTTGACCTTGAAAGATAAACATTTTTGTTGATTCAAGACATTAAGATAGCCAGACACCGTAGCTAAAGATACTCATAAAAGGACTTCCAGGATGGCTTTCATGAAGTTGCAAGAACAATGTGATATATGTATTCAAAATAAGTAGTATTTTGAGGAGTTAATGGCAACATATCTTTTATGGTAGCTTTTTAAATTTACAGATAATTTTTGTATCATACCTCATATATTTAGAATTCCTCTGTACTATGTGGAAACTTATTGGAATATTTCACTTTACTTAGAATGCTTTAACAATACTATTTATTCTGAGCCCCCCCAAAATCTCACAGTGGCTTACATGTTATGATTTTTTAATATCCCAGTTATTGATGTAGTTAATGCTTATTTGCCATTTTGTGATTTAAATAAAATGTAACTACTCAGTCTGCATCTTTTTGCTTCTGTTATGATTTCCACTATAACCTCTGATAATAGCTAACATTTACTGAAGTGTTAATATGCTTGATACAGTATTCAGTGTTTTAAACTGCAACCTTTTATAATCCTTATGACATTCTGTAAGCAGGCCTTACTACAATTTCTGAAACTGTTTTTATATTAATGAGTAGAGAGACTAGAACATGGAGCAGATATGTATGTAAAAATGGCTAAGATTCCCAACTGTAGCTAGGTCTTTAGTCCAGTGCCAAAAAGAAACCATGTTCTTCCCATCCAGCTTCTTGCTGAAGAATAAAAGTGAAGGTTAAAAGGTTTCTTTTGTTATAGGCCTGTAGTCATTCTCTCTGATGTTTATCAGGAGTGAAACTTAACTTGATTTGACAGAGGTTATATAATGTTTGTTATGTAATATCTAAAACATATCTGAGACAATGATCTATGATCAAATTTATTAATATTTATACAGGACTACTATAGGCTCGCTCTGGTTAGGTCACACTTTGTCACCAAATGTAGAGGTGGTGGTGCTGGGGGTAGGTTTGTGCCTTTCCTTTTCTTAAATTGTACATTTTCAGTTCCTTGTTACTGTTAGAGTCGTGGATCTGTAATTATAGATGCTAGTTAGAAAGATTTCCCTTCAGATCATTTAAACAAGTACTTTAAACAATTACTTTAAACAAGTACTGTGTTAACACTAATACTGATCAACATTTTGGGGGGATTAAGACATTCAGTAATAATAATAATGCCACTTTATAGGAAATATTAGCACATACATGCTGAATATTAGTGAAATGTCTGTTTTGTTTTTGTGATTTTTTTTTAATCTGTAGTTCAGTTTGTGGCAAAGACTGAACAAAATGAGTAGATAAACCATGTTTTGGGGAGATATGTAATCATAAAACTAAATGTATAAGGTTTCTGTCACTAAGTCCCAGAAACTATTGGCAATTGTTGGCTGATGCTAAGAGACTTCAAACATTACTAATAATTTGTAAGTTTTTAAACGTTTAAATAATAGTACTTTGCATTTTTCTTTTTTAATGATTATCATATTATTTCTTCCCTAGATCTTCCTCAGAACTGTGATCCTAACATTCCCCTAGTTGCTCAGGAATTAATGAAAAAGATGATACGTCAGTTTGCAATTGAGTACATTTCCAAAAGTGGTAAAATTCAAGAGAATAGAAATGGTTCAATTGGACCAAATCTCATATGTAAAAGTATTCAAATGAATCAAGCAGAAAACTCCCTTCAGGAAGAGCAGGAAGGCCCCTTAGACCTCACTGTGAATCGAATGCAAGAACAAAATACTCAGCAAGGTAAGATTTTGTGTGTGTGTGTGTGTGTGTGTGTATGTGTAATATATAATTTTATGTTTTAAAATATGTAACTATATTTAAGTTGTATTCACAGGGAAACTTAAAAGTACTATTACTTTATGTAATATGGACATAAAGTTTAGAATTTGTATTTCATTTTTAATTGTTTCTAAAGGAAAATTTGAGTTACTTTTATCTTCTTTCACTAAACATGGTAAGATATAAGTAAAAAGATGTTTCTGAGAACTACTTTTTACAGTGGACAGCTGAAAACATTAAATGTTCAGTGTTTTGTACTTAGATAAGAAAAAAAAATGACTTATCATCCAATTATTTGTGATATAATTGGAAAAAGAGGAATTAATACATGTGATAAATCTAATGCAATCATGTAGTTAATTATACAGAAGTGTTTTTAAAAAGAAACTGGAATGATAAAATGTATGTTGGAATTGAATGAGATAGGATATGTTGGAATGGAGAACTGTGCCTTAACAGGAAAAGCAGAAGGAATATTTTTAAGACAAGCGCAGAGCCTTTTAAGTATGTGTTGGGGGAGATATTTATTTTCACAAAAAATAAGTAAGTATTCAAGGGCTGGAGATTTAGCTCAGCAGCATAAGCGCCTGCCTTGCAAGCAGGCAGTCGTGGGTTCGATCCCTGGTACCGATAAAAAGCAAAAAGACAAAAAAAAAAAAAAAAAGTATTCTGTAAAGAAAAAAAAAAAGGAGGATTGTTTCAAATCTTTGAAGTTGTAAAAAGTTAGTACTAAATTTGATCCTAGAGCCAGGATAGTGGTACAGGCCTGTAATCCCAGCACTCCAAGAGGCTGAGACGGGAAAATTGAAAGTTCCAGCCCAGCTCAGGCAATTTAGAGACTAAGCAGGATGCTGCCACTAAATAGAAAACAAAAGTGGGTAGAGATGTGCCTTTGTACAAAGGCCTTAAGTTCAATCCCCAGTACCACCAAAAAAAAAAAAAAAATAAGAAGAAGAAGAATCGAACCTAGAAGGTGGGGTCACTTCTACTAGTATACTAGTCAGAGTTTAAAGATGATAGTCTTTACAGTGTGTAAAACAAATAAAAATGGAATATCTGACATATGGAAATAATTTGCCTTTATTTCTTAATTTTAGATTACATGAGTTTATGTGGAAATGTCTAAGAAGTATTAAGAAAATAATTAGATGAAAAGACAAAAATACCAAAGATCATTATCCTGTAAGACTTAAGGAAAGAAAATACCAGTATACAGAAAAAGCAGAGGATTTTTATAACTTTATTTGCTATCCCTGCTTTATACTTATTTATCTTTCCTCCTCTTTTAGAGAGGTGGTATACAGTTCTAAAGTGACTACATGTAGGAAGTGCATGTACCCAGTCTCTGAGATTATTGTAAAAGTTATGTGCTGGAAATATGTACTAATGAAAACAAATTGACTAGAACATAGGTTTTGGTACATGACAAACTTGTGCAAAAATCTCAGTTCTACCACCTAAGCTTCTTTTATACATAACTATGTATCAGAGCTTTACACTCATTAGAACAACATGAGAATTGAATATAAATTAACAGACTCATTAAAGGTACTAGAACACCTCGTCAATCCATATTATTCACCTCCTATTCTTTAACACCACAAAAAAAGAAAACCTCATAAGGAAAATGATAGCAAATTTTAAATATTTGTATGGTTGTTACACTAAACTAGGACTGAACCTCTTCTGAATGATCCAATAAGTAGAATTCAGTAGTTAAAAGAGAAAAATAAATTTCAGATCAATATAAGAAAGAATATTTTCAGGACTCAGACGTTTCTTAAAAATGGAAAGGGGGAAAAATTCCCTGGTTGCCTCATTATTCGAGGTGTTCTGAAGCATCAGCTAAGTACTTAGGAGATATGACAGTTTAAAGTAAATATAAGTGAGGGCCAGGATATATAGTTCAGCAGCACAGCACCTGCCTGGCAACACAAGATTCTGAGTTGGTTCCAGGTACCAAAAAAGTGATCACTTAGATTCTTTGGTTCTGTGAAATTAAGTGGTACCCTGGATTCTAGTAAAAACAAAATAAGTAACTTAAAATATTTAAATTATTAAAATCTGGGCAAAGTCTGTAACTGAACATCCTGAGGTTGGAAAGAATAATGATACTTGTTAATCTGATAAATTGTCATGATTTCAGTGATCTTTAGAGTAGAAATCATTTAGTGTAATATGATTTGTGATAAGGAGGACAAGAGAGAAATAGTGATAGATGAAGCCAAAGAAATATATAGGGACCAGGTTATGAGAAAAATCGTAAAAGGTTAAGGAGTTTTACTTTGCTGGGCCCACAAGAAATTGCTAAGACTGGGCCGGGGATTTGGCTCAGCCTGGCAAGCTCAGCCTGCCTGGCAAGTCTGAGGTCACGAGTTCAATCCCTGGTATCAAAAAAAAAAAGAAAGAAAGAAAGAAAAAAGAAATTGCTAAGACCATTTGAAATAGAGTGACAAGATCTGATTTTATTTCATAAAACCATTCTGCCATGGTACAGCTAGTTTCTCAGATTAGCTTACTAAAACTCAAGGAAGCCACATAACTTTGGACATGTTTGTATCTGTGTATATATTCCCTAAGATGTATGATTCTTCTACAACTTAAAAATTTCAGGTTTTAAATAAGCATTTAAAATAGTTTTTAAATCTCTTACTAATCTTGATGGCTTTACTGCTATTGCCTTAATACACAGTACTCTACATACTGTGTAAATCTTTCATTGACAGTGATAACAATGTGTATGTGCATATTTTAAATACATTTCTTAAGAATTAAATTTTTTTCTGGCCCAATTTTACTATTCTTGCCTTATAGTTAATAAAGATGTCAGTAGTAGTTCAGTCTTTTTTGTGGTTATTTGTAGTGCCTAGCATTTTTCATGTCGTTTTTACTCTGTAATATTCAAATAATTCTCATTTAAGCCAGTTTTTCATTTTGTGAGTTTCTTAATTCAAATTAAATTATAATCTGTAATCCCAGTGAGTAATCTTACAGTCTGTTTGGTGCTGTTATAACTGAATGTCAGAGACTGATAGAGATTTGTTTTTTGCAAATCTAGGTGTTGAAGAGTCCAAAGATACCAACCAAGGAATAGATCGATACTTCCACTACAAAAATGTTGTAACTTGATTTAGTAAAGAATAAGACAAAAAATGCACATAGTCACCAATTTTAAACATATTTTGAGGTTCTTAACCCCTCAATTTAAATTCAGCTTTTAAAAACAACAGCAATCCGGGGGAAAAAAATCTTGAGTGAAATGAGTAAACTGTGTAATACCTTATGGAAAAATTTGTGTAACTATTGAAGGATAGAAAGGTAGACTTCCAAAATAAATGTTCATAATTTAAATAAATGGGAAGATCAAAAGATGACTGTTTACTTTTAATGTGCTTGCAATTCAGCTTGACTGCAGTCACATTCTGTTAGAGTTTATTGATAATTATGACTTGTTGAACTTAAAATTTACAAGGAAGGTTGGGGATTTAGCTCAGCAGAATAAGTGCCTACCTGGCAAGCATGGATTCAATTTGATCCTCAGTACAAAAAAAAAAAAAAAAAATTTACAAGGAAAACTTACAGAGCCAACAATAACCCAAAGTACTAAGGAACTTTCTTTAAAACCTATCAATTGTGATTACTATAACAGGGTGCTGTTATCAGTTGCAAATCAGTAAATAGACTAGCAAGCCCAGAAATTGGTCGAATATTACCAATGCTAGTATGAGAGAGGTCATTATAAATCGCAGAGGAGGATGTGCTTGCTCTTCAGTAAACAGATCCAGGGCATTTGGTTGCCCACAAATAGGGGATCCATCCCTATGGATCCCCACCATTAGAAAAACAATTTTAATTAAGGGGTAATAGAGTCCCCAGATTCTCCTTTGGATTAAAGAGTATTATAATGTATATAACTAATAAATGTCTTATAGCAGTTGTGGTAAGTTTTCAACTCATCATTTTACATAAGCCTTTCACTTTATCACTTATCAAAATTCTTTGAGTGAAGCATTGAATCTTCTCGTTCTGTCTTCCATGTCTCATAAATTTTTGTAATTTGTCTCATTGTGATATATGCTTTTTAATTTGTTTAGAAATATTTTCCAAATCACTAATTCTCTCAAGCTGTTTTAATCAGTATTTAATCTCATATTTGGGCATCTATTTTACTGACATTGTATTTTTGATTTTCAAAAGCTTTTTTTTTTAAAGTATGTCTATCAAGCTGCCTGCAACTTTATGAAAGGATCAACAGGAAGGATGTTAAGAATAAGTGGGAAATTATTTTAGGTAAAGCAGTCAGGAAAGTTTTGCTGAAGTGAATTTGAGCTGAAACTGAGTCCTCCTTATAAAGATATGGTGGGAAGAGGACAGTGCATTTTAGGTAAAAGAAGCATTAACTCAAAAGAGTATACTGAATCAGATATAGTTAAGGAACTAAACGAAGGCTGGACTGGTCACTTAAAAATCAAGAAACTATTCAAAGCTTTTCCCATAAAGCCAGACTATAAAGTGTCAAGAAATATAGTTGTTACAGTATATATAAGCTAAATTTTTTTTCTTTATTAAGAATAACATTATAAAACAGTTGTGCACTTTAAATTCAGAAGGTCCATAAGTGTTTCCATATGAAATGTCACTTGAATAACTTAATTAGGCACATGAATAAAAAAAGAAGAATATATTTGTGTCCTTTATAGCCATCCCATTTGCCCCCTCATTTGTGCTAGATTAAAATAAATAGCCATTAACCATGTAAGTTTTTGCTTTTCTCTTGTAATTGTCTCCTCCAAGGAGACAAGTTTCATATTTGCCTCACCATAACCTTGAAGATACCAATGCGCCAAATGTTGTTCTCAAGCTAGAGCTGAAGAGAGTAAAGCTACTGTTCTGTCATTACATTTTTTCTTTTATTAATTTTGACCAATATATAAAAACACAAAAGTTGTACATATTAATGG